AAATAGTGTCTATACTTCCATTCAACCTGCGCCAGAAGTGGCGTGATGTAGCAGACAACATCAAAGAGAGGATGGGAAGGGAAGTCGCAAGTCGCAAGCTTTGTATAGGAGAAAGCCCGTATATTAACGCATCTAAAATTTGGTGACATATCCAGTAAACGGAAAGGCGAAGGCAGGCTCTACACGAGAAAATCAACAAGCAGAAGGGTCTCTTCGTTTGCAGCCGAAGCTCGTAATCCTAATGACACTGGTGATGGCGTTTCTGATGAGATTTCGGAGCCCAGGTCCAGTCATAACAGACTACGTTGCCTGCTGTGCAGATGTCCTCATTGGCTATCCGAATGTAATGATTTCAGGAGAAGAGGCATCACTGAAAGAGACAAACTCCCACGAGAGAAAGAGCATCGTTATAACTGTCTTGTTCCCCGTCATTACATCATAGCTTGCCCAAAGACAAGCTTTTGTAAGGTGGATGGGTGGCATGACAAACATTCAACATTTCTACACCCACCAGCAGCGCAAATTGAGAATGGAACACAGCCAGAGATTGGAGCACAGAATGTTTATGTAAGTGTTGGCAAGCCTTGCCGTGCCGTTACTGGGGGCCGGAACGTCAGTAACCGGATTACCAGTAATACCGGTCGAAGTGAGAGCCAAAGGGAGTGACACCCTTTTACGGACATACACATTCCTAGATGGTGGCTCGAAAACGACCCTCTGCAGTGATCAGCTCATGAAGGAGCTTGGAGTCAGAGGTATCGACACCACACTATCGCTAACCACGATGGAAAGAGAGAATAGTACAAAAGCAATTTCTTTGATCCAGTTAGAAGGCTTCGACTTAGATGAAAATATTTTTATTGAGCTACCGCTTGTGCTCTGCACTCCTGCACTGCCAATTTCATCAGAAAGTGTACCTCATCAAGCTGGTGTTGACAGGTGGCCTCATCTTAAAGGAATACGTGTTGCAGAAATAGATGCCCATGTCGGTCTTCTGATAGATCATGACGTACCTAAAGCTCTGAAACTGAAAGAAGTCAAGGAGAGTCAGGATGGAGGTCAATATGCAACAAGAACTTTGCTCGCCTGGGCAATTAATGGCCCACTAGGCGGAAACGGGAATGCTACTTGTACTACCAATTTCATCAGAAGGTCGATCACGTGTTCCAGAGGTTTTGCAACATGGAATTTAATGATTCCTTGCTTGACAATGTCCCTTGATAACATAAAAGCCCTGGAAATCATGAAATTTACTGCCTTACCATGGAGATATTTGCCATCCTGCCTGCTAAATAACAGAGCTTTGAACATCGACTGAAGCTGTTAAGAAGGCTTGCCAAGCACCCAGATATCTTTAAGAAGTACTCAGCCTTCATCGACAATTTTCTAGACAAAGACTATGCCAGAAAGGTCCCACATCAGTTGATAGATCGGGAGAAGCTAATTGGTGTTTACCACATCACCCAGTCCTCCATCCAAAGAAACCTGAGAAAGTTTGTGTTGTTTGCGTCTGTGCGGGGAAATACAGGGGCGTTTCTCTGCTACAAGGTCCAGATTTGACCAGCTCCCTCATTGGTGTTCCTACTTGGTTTCGACAGGAACGGATCGCTGTTATGGCCGACATAGAGTCTATGCCCTACCAAGTACACGTTCGTGACGACGATTCTGATGTGCTACGTTTCCTGTGGTGGCCTGGTAACGATCAGGAAAGTCAACCTGAAGAGTATCAAATAAGAGTTAATTTATTCGGTGCAGTGTCTTCTCCAACCTGCGCAAACTTTGCCACAAGGAAATCAGCTGACGACAACTTGCGACAATTAGACTCCGAGGCAGTCAACATAGTCAAAAGAACTTTTTACGTGCTTTAAGTCCGAGCCAGGGGAAGAGGAAGCTATCCATCTGACTTATGATCCGATGATCTCAGAAGGCTTCTAGAAAAGAGAGGTTTCAATTTAACCAAATGGGTTTCAAACTCTCGCAAGGTCATTGAATCTCTGTCTGAGAGAGCTGGCACATGCAAGGATCTCCACGATGCTCTTTTGGTACGTTGGGACATTGACCTTAACAAGTTCTGTTTCAAGATTGAAGTTAAAAGCAAACCCTGTACAAGAAGAGGACTGCAACATACAGAAGCCATGTTGTTTATTATATGAATCCTGTGAGCATGCGATACAAGTATATACCGCTGGCCGGTATCGGCCGCATACGTTACATCTCTCTTCTCATATATGAAAGAAACGAAACAAAACCTGGCTAAGGCAAACTCTAAATATTCTAAAGTAATGTCCTAGAATCAATAACGCAGAACTCAACAAATGTCCAATGTCCTCAAGTCGATAATAATAATAAGAGATTCAACCTAATGGCAGAGAGGACAGTGTCCTTAAAACTGTAAATGTCAGTTTGTGACTCTATACGTCAAGTCTTTGAGGGCAGCGAACCGCACGACCACTTCTGGTTGTGTGCGGCTCATCTGGCTGGGAGATTTCAGCACTGGAGGTTGTGGCAGGTTCCTGTTGATGACTTCATGCACACTCGCAGGGTTCCATGGGCGCTGATGAAGACAGAGCGTTGTTCAGATGGGGTGTACTGTCATCTGCTGCGAGATCTGAGTAGTACTCAGTAGTATTGGCAGCTTCGTTTAATCGACACAAGTGTCTCCAGTTGCGGCGGTATTCGTACCCAGCTGACTTCACAATGTAAGAGCGTGGGCTGACGTGTCGTTTGACAATGATGGCAGGGTTCCGCATTTTGGATCCTGGGCTGGGTGTCATTCTCACTTAGTCACCTGGGTGCAGCGGCAGAAGATCACTTGCAGACTTACTTTCATGGTAGAATTTCTGATATTCTTTCTGCTGGTTCAAACGTTACATTACGTCTTGGCGGTTGTATGCTGTGGGAGTGAGTAGCTCACGAAGAGAGGGAAGTTTGTTCTTGGGCGTCTGCCCATCAGTAGCTGTGCTGGTGACAGGTTAACTCCTTCCAGTGGGGTTGTCCTGTAATCCAGGAGGGCAAGTTGCTTATCAGCGGCTTTCCTCCAGAGACGCTTTACCGTCTGCACTGCTCTTTCGACCTCACCATTGGCGCTGGGAAGGTGGGGACTCGAAGTCTTTTGGGCAATACCGTATTTTTTTGCAGAATCTTGCAAAATGCTTAGAAGCGAACTGTGGATCCCCGTCACTTCGGATCACTTCAGGTATGCCATGTCGGCTGAATTGCGCCTTCAGTACCTCTATGGTTGCTTTACTTCCCAGGTCTTGTAGCCTGTCCACTTCAATAAACTTCGGGTAGTAGTCTACTGTCAGCAAGTAGGTTTTAGGCTCAAAATCGAGGAGGTCTGTCCCTACCATCATGAAGGGTAATCCAGGAGTTTCTGTTGGTATTAGCGGCTCGGAGGGTTGTTTCCTTTGAAAGTCGGCGCACTTGGTACAGTTCTTAACAGTTTCCTCAATATTGGAGTTCATAGCTGGCCAATATAACACTTCACGAGCACATTGTTTGCATTTAATTATACCCAGGTGTGACTCATGGACAAGGTTCAGCATTTGTCGCCATTTGTAAATGACTGCGCGCATATGGCTAGTTTACTTCTAGAGTCCCAATATGGGCGCAGTGATGTATGTACTTCCTGTCGAACATTTGGTCAGCTATTCAAGATTATTGTTTGTAGCTGGTTTAGCTCACACTGAGAGTCCTCGGTGTACTTGTCTTTGGTGATGGATCGAAAGTCCAGAGTGCTTACTTGTTTCAGGTCAGTCAAATGTTTGGTGAAGAAATTGGGATTGACGATGTCGATGTTTCTGCGTTCGTCAAGAGGATCCGTCAATTCATCCAGGAGGTTCTGGCGCATGATGTAGTTAAGTTGTTGTTGACCACGAACATTGAGGGTGAACCCACGCACTTCTTTGGTCCTGCTGAGGTGAAATCAATGACGTAATCCCCATCGTCCAACTCGTTGGTCATTTCACCTAGAAAGTCTCCCAGAGGAATGTTGGGTTGGCCAGGCTTTGTCGAAGTATAAGACTTGTTCTTGCAGCTGCTCTAGATAGGAGTACAACTTTAAACGGGCCCAACAGGTAGTGAAGGCAGCAATGAAAATGTTGACACGTCCGTTGTCGGTCTGTTTTTCCTTCAGATTTGAGTAGACCACTTCCAAGGAATCTTGTGAACAAGTGCGGACCGTGTGGATGTCTGTGGTAACTGCCTGTGAGCAGGTGTGGTGACTGAAGACTTTGGCTAAACTTGCCCCAAAAGGAATTTAGCATTAACTTTGCTGTAGGTTTACGTCCAGGATTTTTTTCGATGAGGAGAGGATCTGAGGTGATACCTTCTTGCTTTTGGTAGTCACGGACGTATTGCTGTTTTTGTTCATCAGTCCGCGCCCATCCAGGATACCCAGCTGATTCTTTTATTTTTAACCACGTGTTGAAATAGTCAGCAAGGAGCCCTTCTTGACGTTGTTCTTCTGAAAAAAGCCATGCCTCGTGGATGTGTACGATACTGTACCCGACCTCTACTGCTTTGACGAGTACAGGGGATGTTCCTATGGAGAGTGAGGACAATATATAGGGTGTGGCATAGCATCATGGGACAATGACCTCATTGGGAACCAATCAGAATGAATTAAAGTACTTACAGTGGTTGGCTTCCCCAGTTTCCTTCTCTTAAGGAGAGCACTAAACCCCGAGCATGTCGATAAGTGGGGCACTCCCCAAGGTTTGGTTACCCCGGCTCGTGGAGGAAATCCCGGACCGATCGGCACTTCCGGGGTGGGTATCATCGAGGCGCCACCTCGACTCTTTGTGGCCGGGAACTATCTATCAAAAACTATGTACAAAAACACAAAGTCCCGACCCTTCCCTAATCTAACCTTGTCCTGCGGGCTAAGCGATCCGTCCAAAGACATGCCAGTTCGCTAGGGGTAAAACTATTTACGAAAAAAATCAATAAATAAAAAAATAAAAATAAATAAATAATAAATAAATAAATAAAAAATTAATTGCCTCAACCAGGATTCAAACCGGGGCCTCTGGGGCCACAACCCAACCTCTTAACCACTAGACCATCGAAGCATCAGCTAAAAAAGACAGGCCTGTCATTCAAAGTCATCCTAACATGCAAAGTTGTATCAAAACAAATAGTGTTCTAACTGATCCATGAGTTCCGCAGACATTTCTACATTGTGAGTATACTCAAACTGAGTAGCTTGCTCTACCGTATCCTCACGTTCAAATTGTTGAAACCATTTACCCATGTCGTGTAACATAAACGACATCTCGTCAAGCTCCGCAGTTTATTTTCCGCTTCTTTCTGTCTTGTTTGCATTCGTCTTACTCTATCTCCTTCTGCTTTTTTCCTGTTTTTCCTGAGTTGTTCAATTCTCCATTTTGCAGGCTCCTCAGGTTCTGCTAACGTGAGATGCAATTCTTTTGACAGCTCTTCATCTGTCTCAGAGTCAGAGGAGGAATAAGACATTCGCTTTCTGGATCGTTGCCGAGATGATGGTGGCAGTGGTGGTGGCGGTGATGGTGGGGATGATGGCGCTGGTGGTGGTGGTGGTGGTGGTGGTAGTGGTAGTGGTCTTCTAAAATCTGTTAGCACAACACGAACTCCAAACAAACCCCGAAGAATTTCATCAGAATCATATTCGTCATCTCTTTCTTTCCTCTGTCGGGTTCTAGGTACTCGTGGCCAAACTTTGCGCTCATAATAACGTTTTTGGGCCCTCACTAGCTCTGGATTGTTCTTTCTCCATTGCCACAGCATGTCCTGTTTCTTGTCATTGTTTAGTGTATAATATCGTTTTTTCTGCTCACGAACTTTAGCTGGATTTTTTTTTCCACTCTCACGCGTTCTCTTGTCCTCTCTCTCTTTCGTTTCAATGCTGCTGCGGAGGTGGCTGACATAGTCTCAAAAACTTCAACAGTTAAAAAGGTATAAAAAGGCACTCTATACAGGTACAAAGATGCAGAGTGATGGTTGACTCTTATACAACATTGTTTAACTCCAAGCAAGAAACTTGGAAATGCTGAATTTGCATGAAAAATCAGCACCTGTTTTTTGTAGAAAGCAAAGAAATCAAACCACATACGGACTAAAGGTAATTGAAGTTGAAAATACTTTTTCGTTTTACGTACTTAAACACCGAAAATAATTGTCTGTTAACAAATGATGTTATTGCTTTAACTTAACGCTTTTACTCCCGTGGTAAATGAATTTGTTTGCATGCAAATAAAAGTTTTTATGTCACCTCCTCGTTTATACATTTAATTTGTATCGGGTGTTGACATGACATGTGTAGGTCATTCAAGGGTAAAGGTGGGTAGATTGCTGCGTTCGTATTACCGTCATTTGATACCTTAGACAATACTTTGGAGTTGTGCAAGAATCACGAGACAGTCAGGCAATTTCATTACAATAGAAAGTAGGATTGTGTAATTGTCACACCCTATTCAGTAAAAGTACATAGC